TTTCAACTACTCCGCTCCCCGGCATGGTCTCCCCACATCTCCTCCTCTCCCGCTCGGTCGCCCAGAGGCTCCTCCTCCTTTCCCACCACAACAAGCGGCCGATGAATATGACGATCTATATGATGCACCCCCCGTGCAGAGCCCAGTAAAAGAAAGACCCTCTGCCTTGAATGAGAAGCGTCTTTCCCTGGCGCCTATGCCGCCCCAAAGCCAGTCTTCGGGTTTGCCGTCCCCGTCCGCTGCCCGAACCCAGCGCGCATCTATGGATCTTCTAAGAAATCAGCCTAACCTTCGTCGGTCTATGGATGTTTCTCGTCCATCTATTGACCAAGGCTACATCGCCACCGATGTTGATTTCGCCACGTATACCCTCTGGTGGACTAAACCCAACACCCCGCCTCCAGCTTTCCAGAACCGCACCGATCTGCTTTTCGAGATTGAGGAGACTGCATCTACAAACCGCAGTGGCAAAACAACAGTCTCGAAGGACGTCTATATCCTGTTCATTGATTACTCCCAGACGGTCTTGAATGTCCAATTCGATCCCAAGAACCCCGCAGATGCTTCCTTCGAGCAGCGCCATGAACCCCCGCCGCTCCCATCTCGCCAGGACCAGCTCGAGCAGGCCCATATCCAGCTTGGAACCCGAATCTCGGAAGCCGTCAACTCGGTCCAAAACTCTACTGTTGGAGACGGCACTCCGTTCGGGCTTGTTCAGCACCTGCTCAATCCTCTTTCCGACGCGCTGCTACCCGTGGGGACCCGTGGATATGGTGCCTCAGTGTATTCAAACCTGGCCAATGCCTCCGTGTCTCAGAACGACGAAATCCGCGCCGGTGACATTGTCAGCTTCCGCAATGCCCGATTCCAGGGCCACCGCGGCACCATGCATCAGAAGTACAGCGCCGAGGTTGGAAAGCCCGACCACGTCGGCATTGTGGTCGATTGGGATGGCACGAAGAAGAAGATCCGAGCCTGGGAGCAAGGTCGCGAGAGCAAGAAGGTCAAAATGGAGAGCTTCAAGCTAAACGACCTCCGTAGTGGTGAATGCAAGGTCTGGCGAGTGATGCCCCGTAGCTGGGTGGGCTGGGAAGCCAGTAAGTAACTGGACGACAGGATTCTGGTTTGAGAATTCGACCTTTTTGTTGCAGTTATTGCGCTATGAGCAGACGACCTTCTCTTTTGTTTTGTTTTTTTTTTTTGCTTGCCCCTTCTAGATTGGGTGGGACCATGTATGAATGAAAAGGAGCCTCCTTTCTCCCCTGTCTTCTATATTATTCTCCCTTTTCTCTTCTCTTTTCCTGTCCTGCTCCCCTCTCGCGAATCATCTGGACTTAGTGTGGTAATGTGGGATGAGGAATGGTGGTCCCTGTTTGATTGAGAGTTGAGCGAGCGTGCAGCTTTTCGTTTATTTTTGTCAATGGTACATCTTGCATGATTCTATCCTCCGAGCAAACTATGAGATACTATTCTCGATTTTTCGGTCTATAAGTGATCGTGGCTTCGTTGGTAGATAACTTTCTAATGTTGAAAGTATTGTACATATCCGTGATGACGAAAAAATATCTCTTAAGTGCCACGTCCAATGAAACCCCAGTCCAATTACAAAACTACTCCATACTCCGTACTGATTACGGAATAGTCAAGGTTGTACGGAGTAATTAGGGCCTACACGAGGATCGAACTTTGAGGGAGTTTCTAGGGCTAAGCCAATAAACCTAGTTCCTCATTTGTATTCTAGAATCTAACGCCCCGTCTGAAGTAAATTAAAACCAATATTCTAGCAACGCTAAGAAAGTTTTCCTCTGATTAACGGATCGAATTCGACGGACACCAAAACACAACTGCCGACTCCACCTTCGGAGACCAATTTGTAGCGGTTTTACGTTTTACAGTTTTGCCCTCAGCCGAGTAAAACAGCGCCTAATCCACAGTTAGGCACAACCCTACAACATCCTCCGCGGACACGATTTGTAGATCCTCGTATAGTGACCCCGAAACCCGAGACTGAAGACTCATCACAGAGTAAGCAATAAGCGGATTCTCTTTGGTCATACGACTACATATCCTGGCAATTTCTCGTTATCGCTCCATGAACACCCGTCGAGAGACCGGGGGCTGCCCCGATCTCAGCAACCCCTCAATACGGTCAGGGGAGGGGGAGGAGGGGCTCCAATTATAATGTTCGTTCCTTTTTTTTTAGTTGAGTTTCTACTGGTTTGGTATACGATGCTGGCGGAAGCCCCTGGATCTTCGGCTATTACTCCGGATATCGATATTCGCGATCGGTTCCTGGATTTCCAGCTGATCGTGAACATCGGATATCAGATTTTCGTTGGCTTCTATGCATCCTGGAAGTATAGATCAATGCAAGGTAACAATATACTACTGGTAGTAGTCGGTAGTGTACGGAGTAGTGTATGTCATTTTTATATTATGTTATAGGACCTTCTGAGGCCAATGGATAGGTCCAAAGTCGGAAGTTTTGAATTTTTGAAAAAACCGAACCCGAAATTTTAGCCCACGAGGATTGGCCCCGCGGATTGCTCCGTAGGTTGGCGGATGCTTTCCGGTACGTTGATGGCTTTTGATGCTCCGTACGAAGGAAGTATGTTGTATATTGTATGTCATGGATTTATATTGATGACATCAATCCAATTCAAGCATTCTAGATCTCTTATTTATGGTCCATGTCTAAAACATGGAAGCATTTCAGAGCTGTCTTTAAATGTGTGTACAACATTAATTTTTTTAAAAAAAGCAACCCGAAGCGTTAAATTACTATCCACATTGGGACTAGTCAGGGGCACTATACCGACCAAGACCGGACGGTTGACTATTTCTTTTTTTCCTCTCTAGGGTTAATATTAAAAAGGTACTAACGCCTAACTCTTTCTAGCCAGCCTCGGAAGTTTGAAAAGCTTGTAGGCGGGGCCTTCCTAAACGGCTGTCAAGCCTACCGGCCAAAACGCATCTAGAGACGCGCTAAAGAAATTTGCTCCTTTTTTTTTTTCTTTTTCCCGTTCTAGGCTTTGGGGCTGTTTAGTTCTCCATTATCTCATAGGTTCCACCACACATCGTGGGAGAAATTACTTTTTAATGTGAACAGACCCCTCTATCAGAAATTATTTGGGTCAAGTGGAGATAATGGACTTTATCGGGGGCAGAGACCATGGTTCAGCTTCTCTCTGGGCCTTGGGATCCACAAACCATTACGAACCTTGGAAGTATGTTGTATGTTGTTGTAGCAAGTCAGAAGTCATACAATTGCTTCATCAGATGCAGAATCAGTACTACCATTGTCCTGCACGCTGCAAGAGCCCCTGCACAGTCGGAACATTCATCAATTCAGGTCTTGGCTTAATCTTGTGTTATTATTGCATCATGGTAGATTGTGGCTAAGTGTCCTACGATGTACACACCATTGTTCATTTCTCAAACCATGCCGTATTTTTCCAATATATTGCTCTATGGACATATCGCAGATTATGACGCCGACGGGTCTCTCTCCGTATTCCAAGTTTATTGCATATTACAAGTGCCACGGTGAATCGCATGGCTGATTAGCCAACGTTGAGCTTTACAAATGAATTTCCCTTGCTGCCGGCTTCCTGTGAAGCAAGGAGTCTAATGGCTTATATGGTGTGTGTGACTCGAGTCTACAAAGTACTTTGTACCTTTCGATCCTGATATGAGAGATTGGACGGATGAACCACCGTGACCACCTTCCACATCAAAATCCTGCCCCGAACTGTGGAATGAGCGGAATGAAGTAATGGGGCGACGATCTTGTTTCCCGTGTCCAGGCCCCTGGGATTTTTGAATAAATGTTTTTCTTTGCTTCATTACGGTGTCCCCGGTTTCATACAACATAGAAAAACAACATACAACATAGCACACAAGGAATACTCCGTACTCTGTACATCAAATTGCATCGAAGGAATTGGCCACATCGACATATCCAACCTATCCCGCAGTTAGAGTGGCGTTCAGCCCCAGGTTCCACATTCCGGTAAAAAACTGAAGTGAAGGAAGAGAGGGGATGTGATCCTTAACATTTTATTTTTTTATTTACGCAAGGGGTGAAATACATTACAGTAATTTTGCCAAATTGCTACTTTATTCATAGTGGAATTTGGACTATTTGCCTAAGTAGTTGTACCATACCATACCTAAATCGGACCATGGATGCAGCTTCGGGAAGCCCCTTGGCCCTCATGGACAGTGCAGCGCTGAAGTATACAGGGAAGCTGAAACAGTAAACAGCATACGGAGTAGATTGTATGTACCTTCGTACATATGTAGATAATTAAACTACCTGGAAGATAAAACAAAATATATATATATATAAAATAAGAAGAATAAGAACATTAAACAGTATATTTATTGTACTTAATATTGATCGACCAGTGGACACTAATTTAAGCCGATCATCTAGATCCCTTTTACTTTTTTTTTTTCCCTCTTGGTAATATGGTATGCCGCTAAGAGAGAGAGAGCCTTGGAGAAGTTACAGTTCTGGATCCATTCCAAATCTCCCCTCTCATTCTTCGCGTCAATTTCCCCAGTCACTCTTTTTTAATCGATTTCATTCTCAACCGACTCTGCAGCCTATTGTTTCCTATTTCTCTCTGTGATCTGTCAATCCCCGCTAAATATCTTGATTGGCCTTGGATCCGGTCCATTCACGGTACACTGCCCAAACTTGGCATTCCTTGCGCCTCTTCTCTTCAGGAGACATTTATCTCCCTGGCCTCAATCTGCACTCCTCGTTGCATTTGAAGGTCATGCCGCTCGTTTCATTCTGTGGATAAGGACATCCATTGAGTCACTTTCAGCGCATTGAGCCAAACCGAGGCACTGATCAACCCTGAACCTACTACTACACACTCGCTGGACTTATCGACATTCATTCAGATCGATCTTAGATATTACCGAATCGCATCCATTCCTTTCCTATTACGAGGTGGCCCCTGAGCGCCTCAAGCCTACTATCCATGATGAATCGGTTTCGCAAAAACAAGAAGGCGAAGGAGCCCGCGGAGGATCAAGAAGGGGCATCATCACCAGGATTCAGTCTAAAAACATCGAAGAAGAAGGTCGCACCGGAACCCAAACCAGATTTCGACCTATCCGCCGCACTGCCCCCGACAGACAACTTCCGCACCAGTCTGCTAATGCCCAAGTTGTCCGCTCGATTCAGCATGCTAAAGGAACAGGACGACCCACTTTCCATGCTAGGCAAGGCCAGTGACGATAGTGTTTTGTTTCCCAAGCGCGCTTCGCGACTCAATTTGTTCGGCCACAACCCCGCCACGCTGGCAGATATCGACGAAGTTTGCTCCAATGATGGTAGCCGACCATCCCTTGCACTCGACCGTACTGGTTCTTTTGCCTCCGGTGGGGATGGTTATGGTACAGACGATGACCGATCCCAGGGGGGCAGCATGATGAGCCGAGCCCGTCGTGCTGAGGGCAATAATCTGTTCGGTGGTCGCCAAAAGATCTACAAGATCCCGGTCCGATCGCCAGGAGCAACAACCCCCGATGCGCCAGAGGCTGCTCGCCGGGGAATGGGAAAGCCGGTCTATGACCACGACATGAACCTCTCTGCTTTCCAGCGGTTGCGCCTCAAGGAGAAGGAAGAGAGAACGGCGGAGGCCGCCCGGGAATCTGGATATGCCGCTTCAACCGCTTCATCCAACAGCCGAGCCACATACTCCTCCACCGCATCTGGGCCTCTGTCAACAGTTCCAACATCAACTGCAGCAACCTCGGCCGACGAGTCACCGATGAACACATCCCAATCTCCAGCGACCGGTTATCCGTTCCCCGAAACCCTTCCTGAGGCCCCTCGGCCCGGTCCTGGCCCGATGTCTGCCCCGCGCAATGGTTCAATCCGCAATCGTCGTCTCTACGGACAAGGATTGACCCAGGCTGCTCAAAGCCAGCAGAGCTCGACCTTGCACCGCCTGGAGAGTTTGAGTCGCCAGCGTGCCGGCACTCCAGATCTCCCCTCTTTGAACCGCAACTATTCCAGAAGCGCCACCAACCTGCGGGACCGCCTGCAAAACCTTTCAATTGTCGAGCCGGCTTCTACATTACAGGCGACTAGCCCTCCTTCATCTGAAACATCACCAAAGCCGCGTATGTCCGGAGAAGCTGCGCTCAAAGACCGCCTTTCGCCCACAGTAGCAACGTTTGGGGCTCCTCCCCTGAGCCCGCCAACAAGCGAGAACGACGAGATTCCCTCACTGTTGGCAGCATCAATTAACCCAGAAGACCATGGAAAGGCTACCGCCATGGGCTTGTTCAACCGGCCTGCCACTGGTTTCGACGAGCAGGCATTCTCCCGCCGCCAACTTCAAATGCACCAAGGACGAGAGACCCCGCCTCCGCGCCGTGCATCCCCCCCGCGCCGACCTCTACCTGCAGAGCCTGCGGGCCGTCCTCGGGGACTGTCGAAGTCCAGCTATCGTTCCCGAGCAGAGTCTGCCTCATCTCACTATAGTAGTGATGCGCACCGCGGCATTGACCACTCTGGTGCATCCAGTGTTGAGGCTTCCCCCTTTAGACCTGGAGTGAAGAGCTTCTATGCCAACTCAAGTGCTAGCGAGTCTGGCGATGAAGGAGAGAATCCCTCTTCCCAAGAACTCTCATCCTCGACTTCGCTGGCCACCGGGTACGGCCCGCCGCTTCAGCACTCAACCCCCACGAAGGATCACCTCGAAACGCTCCCCGAAGTAAGATACTCCGATCTGGGTGATCTTAGACCCATCGACGAGAATGACCTTGACTTCACGAATTCTTCTCCTGGAATCAGCGATAACACACCCAAGAGACCCGACTCGCCAACTCTGGAGCCGGATCAAGGCTTTAATGGAGTGGGGGGAATGATTAGATCTCACCTGCGTCAGGAAAGTGACATGTCTTCCATCTTCCCTCCCCTCTCGCCTCGACCTGCGCAGCAGCAAAATGATACACATATCCCTGAGACCGAGACCCAGAAAGGGACTCCCCAGCCACCGACCACTGTTCCAATGATAGCAGAACCCCGCGAAGAGAGTCGGCCATCATCAACAACCCGCCCAGGAACCTCGAGCTCGCAATCTCCTTCTAGACATTCTACGGAGGGCACGGGTTCTCGAAACAGCGCGGAGTCATCCGCACCTGGAACTAACCCCGACACAGCTTCTGTATCGAACGGCTCATCCTGGAGGGAGGAATTGGAACTTCATCATCGCCGTCATGGAAGCACTGAGACCCAAAGGGAGCGAGAGGAATTCGCCATTGAGCTGGCGGAGAGACGTAGAAAGGTGCAGGAGAAGCTGCGAAGTGTTGCCGAGAGCGACAGCCGATCCAGCAGTCCCACCCCGGGCCGGTCAACGCCAGACTTGTCCCGGGCTGGTAACGCGTTTGCCATGTTGAAGCACAAGTCCAGCAAACAGGCTAGCGCAAAGCCCGATCAAAAGAAGTTGTTTGGTTATGTCGCTGGCAATGCGTCCACGCCTGTACTCTCTTCAGATGACTCGATGCGTGAAGAGGAGCGGCCCTCTTTCAGCTTCGGCCGGCACTCCAACTCCAGCTCTCCCCTTATTGGATCGGAGCGTTCACTCAGGTCTCGTATGCCATCTCTCAACCGCGACAACAGCTACGAAGATTCGCGCGAGTCCAGCCGCAGCCGTGGCCCCTCGCCTTTCAGAGACCAGAGAGACCGGGCAGGCTCAGATGCATCAGGCCGGTCCAAGAGTCGAACCAGACTTCGCGAGCGAGATGACCTTCAAACTGTGGACGAGGGTTCCATCATTGCACATGATAATTTTACTGTTCCTGAGGGCTATGAGCCTCCCATGCCTGTCTCGCGCCCTACATCGAGTCGGCCATCAACAGAAATGTCTGACTCTGTGAGCTTCGACCGCACTCCCTCTGCCGCTTCGGGCAGAAACCGCAGTACCAGCCGATCCGGTACACCAAGCTTCCAATACGAACGGCCATTCCAGTTCTCCCAGTCCAACACGTCCTCGATCATCGGTGCCTCGCCCCGGCCCCCACCGGCTGCCCCGGCCTACTCCGCAAATGCCACTCCTCCGCTGAACGAAATGCCGACAGACAGCTCGTCTACATCTCTGGCATCTTCATCCAGCAACTCGCAGAATCCTCAACGTGGGTTGGGACACGGCTCCCTCCTGAAGCGCCCTGTGAACAAGAAGCAGATCTCCGAGCCTACCTTTGTCTCATCCACATCAAACGTTCCTCTCGTTGGTCTCCCAGCCGGATCCGCGCTGCCTTCACCTGGAAGCGCACCTCCACTCCCACCTATGAACCCCCGCCGTCGCCGCGGAACCGCCACTCAAACCATCTTGGGTGCCTTTAAGAGCGACAAGAACGACTTGTCACGGGTCGCTTCCCCCGTCCCGAGCCCCGGGGACGAACACAGTGTCTTCCCGGATGAGGAAAAACGTCCGCGCTCCCGCAACCGTCTGCGCAAGACCTCGAGTGAGGGTGGTAACCTGAACGCGCGGGCGCGCCAGGGATCCATGACCAGCACTCCGCCGGCTGTGCCTCAATACCCGCCTCCTGCTGTCCCCGTCGATGGAGGCATGTTCTAAACAAAACTTGCCTTTTGACTCTTTACACATTCACCTTGCCTTGATCGAGGCTCTCCTTATTCCCTTGTCTTATTTATCTATATCTACTCTCCCTACCGTTCCCTACACACCCCTTTTCCGGGCCTTTTCTTCTCTTCTCTGTCCCATCTTTCCTCTCTGGACTCTCTCTTATCATTTCTACTATTGACGACTAGATACCACTCGGTGCATTTGAGCGTCTCATGTTACTTTCGATCTTTTCTTTCTTTTCCTTTTTGTTATCAACACTTTTGAATTGGATTTCATCTTCCATGTATGTACTGTACCCTATTTGTTTCAATTTCAATAGATACACCACTCGCTATACTTTTATCCTCTTGTAGATTAATCAGATTAGGTGTAGATTTTTTCTCTCGTTACATGTGACTTCGGTTTGAACAAAGGTTATATTCCTCATACTCTCAAACAAACTCACTTTGGGCTCCTATTATGGCACGGGCTATCGAATATTGCAGACGTAGTCATGAGCAATGAGGAAACTGGATATAGTCAAACTTGAAGATCAACATTGATAATTTATCCACCCTGGAGGTTGTAAACGAGTGAAAAGCATGTTAAATGGTATATAATGGTTTATTTAATCTAGTATCATACATTTTCATTGCATTTCGTTCATTCTCTCTCCACTGCCGTCTTGAGGTATCCCAAGACCCTCTCAACAAGGAACTTCCGCGGCTCAGCCTGGTCATCATTACTTAAAGCATGAGAAGCATTAGGAATAACGCCAGTGTGCTTCTGATCCCAGATCTGATATTTGCCATCATGATCAGTAGCCTTCTGCCACCTAGCCAGCATCTTGTCCTTATCAACGTAATCCGGAATCGACTGATCCTTCCCAGAGATCAACACCATGAGCTTATGATTCAACAGTCCATGCTGCTGAATCCTACCAAAGGTAGTCCCAAAGTGATCATCACTCAGATCCGAGCTGAACAGATCATCCTCCTGAGGCGCCTGCGGACTCTCAGGACTAACCAGACTCAAGAACCTCCGACAGCTAATGGGTGTATTGGCAGGATAAATCATGGAAGTCAACGAGAGAGGCAACATGGTATCATGAGGCTTGCCCTCAGCAACAGCGTTCTTCGCCAACGCCTCCATCTCATCATATACAGCACGAGCCTTCTCAGGCGTCGTATCACCAATACCGTACTTCAAGACGCAGAAGATAGCCTCGCGATCAGAAACAGGCGCTTGCATGATTGCGCCGTCCAACACGGGCCGCGTGATGTGTTCGATGTCGGCGTCGAAGGCCGGGACTTTTGTGTGCGGGTTTGACTGGGATAGGTAGTGCAGGACGCACTGACTGCCCGTGGAATGGCCCATGAGCGCGATCTTGCCGCCGCCGAATTTATCGGCCTTGTAGCTCTTGATGTACTCCAGACACTGGGCGATCTCGTTCGTGTCGCGGTCGAGGTGGCCAAGACCCCAGGATTGGTACGAGGATGTCAGGTTTAGTGTGAAGAGGGACCATTCTGATTGCTGTAATGCGCGCGCGAGATCGGCCATGTAGGATGTTGTTGCGAGACCGTCGCCGAGGCCGCCGACGAAGAGGAGACTGTGCGGTTGGCGGACGGTGCTAGAGGCATATTCGAATGTGACGAGGGTTTCGGTCTGCACGTTGCGCGGTCAATTGTTAGTTTCAATTTGAAGTATTATTTATTGATAGTGGTGTGCGAACGTACGTAGTGGTGAAGAATACCGGGAAGACCTCCCTTAGGCCAGAACTTCGACATGGTGGTGAGAGTGTGTGAGTGTGTGAGTGTGTGAGAGTGAGGAAGTGTGTGTGGTGGGGTAGTGTGTAGGTGTTCAATTGAGAGAGAAAACTTTCTATTAGGAGCTAGAGACGGCCTTCGGGGCAGGGTGTTTTCTTTAATTGAATAAATTGCCGAAACCGGGCTTTGTGTCTTTTCGCCATGACGGAATGTGGACAATTAATGTCGGTCGGTTTGAACCGAATCACTCGATCCACAGGGTGAACTGTTTCAGGCCATCTTATCAATCTGATTATACCGCGTCAAGCCGAAAATATTAGGTAACAAGTCTCACATCCATGGAATTCTTTTGCGCTAGGGAAAAGAAAATGTAGACTTTTAGAGGAAATCATATGGAAGCTTTGAACCAAGTATTTCAGTATACCTGTTTGAGTATTACACCGTATCAGAAAATATTGGTATGTTACATGTATACAAGCATGTATTGAATGCTTCGGTATGTATTTCGTCCTAACGGTAAATACAACAATGGACATTGTGTTTTGCCTAGTATTGGACGGAAATAACGATAGGCTAATAAAACTCCACCGCTGTGACGAATGCTGTGGTACACATGCAGTCTAGTCGACACTAGCTGGTATAGGTAAGATCAACGGATCTGATTAGATTCATTGGTTGAAAATAGGGGAATCTGATTAGATTGCCCCCCCCCCTTTGAAAACTCTACCCAACGTGCGGACTAGAGTAAATTCGTCAACACCTGCATCTCAATACAAGATTTTTCTAAGATGCTTGGAAAATTCTTGGACAACTCAATAGTCAGCCTTATCAGGCTTCATATTCGAAGATCCTTGCCCGAAGAGGTGCTCGTTATATTTTGTTTCTTGCGTTCAGTGTGCAAATCCAAGTTTGAAGTATGTATGCAACGTTGTATGCTTTATGAGAACTTAGAAAAATAATATAAACGAGTGGATGGGCATTTTGTGGCGTTTGGAATAATCCATTAATAAAGCTTTCTGCAAGCGAGCCAAGAGATCAACTCAGGAACGTGCGTGATGGAGTGAGGCCTTTTTCAATTTTTTATTGTTACACGCTCGTTGCGCCAGCCAGGGCCCAAGCGGACATTGTTATTTATTATTATTGATGGGTGTACGGAGTACTCGGAGCTTTCTATATTGGTACATTTCGAAAACTGTATACAACACGACACACATGCGTATGCGTGCGATCTGAAAGGTCCACAGGTGGGCCTCGGAATGACAGAATATCGCAAACCCCTCGTTTCTCGCCTCCATCATACATCGGGCTTTTCCGCCCGCGACGCACAATCATGGGTCCTCTGAGCAGTTGGTCTCCGAAACTTCGGAGAACAATTCATTTTCAGTTTGGAGTTGGTCTTGATGTGTTTCAGAATAAGTCGATCATGTCCACGCTGCCTTCCTCATAGCCTACGACTTGGTTACCTTTTAATTCTGCCTTGAGGATGAGCAATAGCCTAACTGAAAATACTTCTTATGAAGCATCCTTTTTATTTCTCACTTTTTCTTCCTTTTCTCTCAGGTGGAGCCTGTGGATACGTTTTGTACCATACAGTATTGTATCTGTAGCTTTAAGATCTGAAATCGCATACACGTATGGGTCCGAATCGCTTAGGAAAGATGGAACGGCCACATGCTTTGGCTTGGTATCATTTTGCCTTCCAGAACGGGTTTGTGTGTCGAATAACCCACCCACCCCGCAATAGCCGATCTCGGTGATGATATGCAAAATACCTGCAGGGTACTTCGTAAAGTCAGGATACTTCGGAGCTTTCAAGCCTTGAGGTGGAGCATGATCTAGCGGAACCGTGGCTAGTTGGGTATATAGTGACACACTTCCGTCAAATCGACCCGCGCAAAGCCTCCGGACTTATAGTCAAGCTCGAATTCCTTCCTTACATCAATTCGAGGGTAATAAGACCAGCTGTGCTGGTCTGCCGTCAAAATGGGCTTCATACCTCTCGAAAACGCCGAAATTCACAATGCGCCAAATGGAATTGAGAAAGTGCCAACAGACACAAATGGCGACTTCAGCTCATTCCAAATTGCGCATCTTGCCTCGGAACAGATCACCACTCCGACCGGCATGAAGGAAGAGATCGTGCTGCTGTCATGGCTCATGGTGCTGTTGCGCAGCCGGGAAGACAGCCAAATATCATACGACTGGTCTTACAAAGATGTCGCACATGGCGCTGAGCCTGAATCAGTGAACAAACTATCGATGAACGAAGTAATGAAAGGATTACAAAGTAATGTGGGAGAAGTTGCGACTGCAATCTCTCAAAATATCAACACGGGAACGTTAAGTCCCGCATCGCTCGTTTTGAGCACCAGCTCTCTTTCGCAAACATCTGAAGAAGCGAAAGATGAAGTAAGTGAACAATCAAAACCCATAGCCACTCAGTCATAACTAACCGTAATCAAAAAGGGTATTATTCATCTCGAAGTTCGCTTCAATAATGCCCAACTCGAGATCCGCCCATTGTGGCATACCGAGAACATGTTGCCGTACACAGTGAATCATCATGTCGAGGCACTTGCCGATACTGTCAGAGTATGCCTCACAAATCCCGAGGCGACCATTGAACAGTGCCTTCGTCCGACTGAAAGTGACCTGAATGATATATGGGGGTGGAACCACGAATTGCCTCCCACCTACAACTTTTGCATGCAAGATATGGTCGCTGAAAGAGCTCGCGAATACCCAGACAAAATTGCCATTGATTCCTGGGATGGCAGCCTCACGTATAGCCAAATTGATCAGTGGTCAACTTCCGTGGCGCACTCGCTCAAAGAAATGGGAGTCCAACTGCACGATGTCCTTCCCGTGTGCTTTGAGAAGTCCAGGTGGACGATCGTCGCTGTGCTCGGAGTGATGAAAGCAGGCGCAACCCTTGCGCTCATGGATCCAACTCTTCCACTTGCCCGTCTTCAAAATATGGCGGTGCAAGTCGGCGCAAAGTCGATGGTTGCGTCCCGCAAGCAGTATGAGCTGTCACTGACGATCATGCCGACTGGAAACCACTTCGTTGTTGAAGGAGATGCGTTCACAAATCCAGCAAACTCCCCATCAATCTCCGACTTACCCGCTGTACCGTCCTCCGCCCTAATGTACATCATCTTCACCTCTGGCAGTACGGGAACGCCGAAGGGAGTGAAGATTTCCCACGAAACCTATACGAGCAGTGCCATTCCTCGAGCAAAGGCA